AACCCTCTCTCCCAATCAGCTTTAATTTAGCAACAAATCCATGCACTTTGCTCAATTTTCAACTTTGCTCGAGCTGTGTAGGAAGATAATATTAGTTGTGCTATGACTTTACATTTCGAAGGAAAAGTTGGTGGGAAGAATTTCGTCTAATGATCTCACTGGAACCCGAAATAGTACCGAATAGTGAAGATTTCTTCGCACAATCCAATAGTCTTCATTCAATGGAAATTCTTCTGTTTCCGATGAGACCGGATTACTTCCAACCAACTTTTCCTTCGAAATGGAAGGCAATGTCACAATGTATCACTAAGAAATTCTTCGAAACCCACTTTTTCTGCATATCATTAGTGTCGGTCGGTCATAAAAATCGCTAATACAGACTTTAGTGGTGATAAATACGAATCTTGTTTCGTATCAAAAACCTGAATTAAGCTTAGCTATCAGTATTGTAAACTTCTGCCGAACACGGAAGTTGTTAGTACGCAAATATCAGCCAAGCTCTTATTCGTCTTTTTTGGCCATTCACCCTGACCCCCCACAAGTGGAGAAAAAAAGTAAAAAGGACTAGAGCGGCTTCTGAGCAGCCAACCGGATTAAATGATATTAATTTAAAATTGAAGTACAAGATTAAACAATGAAGGAAAGAGAGGGAAACAGCCTGAGTTGAATGAATTTCTCTGGTAAGCTATGCATGAGCTAAAATGATTGAGTGGTGGTAATGTGAGAAGTTGCCTAAGCCATTAAGCCTGGAATTTTACGCAGCATGGAATCTGTTTTTACGATCAACGATGATATTTCATCTTTTTTTTCATAATATATCTTGAATTTAAGGCGTGCGAGTTCTGCCACGCTGTCAATCAATTCGACGAGCGGACTGAAGCTGTCATTCGTACAATTCATCAAATATATGACAGCTGGACTTTCACTAGTGCTGGTTTTCGCATCACCTGTCACCTCAGAGTCAAGTTGCAACTGAGCGATGCGGTTTATAACCCACTGGGCCAGGTCAGCTACAAGGCGGCGGGGTACGCTGACTGGCCAACCGACTAAGGCCTGTGCGAGCAAGCAAACCGCGGCATGTGCAACGACAGGTGCATAAATTATAGCATTGAACAATAGTCGAGAGCTGATAATCGTGGTAGTTTTGGAAATAGTAAGTTCCATCTGAGTTTTGTGGGAGAAGAGGGGATAATAGAGGGCAATGATAAGGAACTGGAAGCAACTTTAGGCCTTCATTTAGCGCGCAATTTCCATGTCTAATCAATCGAGCGTAGATGGGTGAAACCATATGACTACCAGTGTGGTATTTGTACGAATTGGTTGCTATCAGGAGAATCTGTCAAGGTACACGCATCCAATCATAGTCATCGTGGGCCAAAAAGGATGCTAGTATATGCTGTACATCTTTAAAAGATCTGTATGA